AGGAAAAAAAAAAATAATAATAAATAAATAAACATAAAGAGCTTAAAGTTTATGATATCGAGTATAAATTTTGTTTTACATTAAAAGAGTCACGCTCACTTACACGTATACCTGTACAAATCACAGCGAAAGATAACGTGCAATAAATAAATAAACATAAAGAGCTTAAAGTTTATGATATCGAGTACAAGATTATACGGCGATTATGAGGGGCACGTCACGTGTAAGCGATAAATACACACGCACGTGATAACAGGAGAGAAGGAAAAGATTTGCACTGCGCGTATACCTATCGGCCGAACATCCGATTGTGTTGTGTATAGGGTACATACATTTTGTGCAAATCCCTTACATCACCACACGGCACGTCATTCAAAAGGCTATAGATGCTTTTATCCTTTCTCTCTCTCTCTCTCTCTATGTACCTTCATATTCATAATACCTTTGTACAATATTCTCAAATCCCCGAGCGCCGCCCTCAGTTTCATTTGTATAGGTACAAACACACAGGAGTTACTTCACCTTTTCCTTTGTTCCTCCTCTTTTCTCCTCCGTTCTCATCATTAAAAATAAAAAAAAATGAATAAAAAATAAAAATACATTCTATTTTTGTACACCCATCTCCGATGTATTTGATGCATCAATAGCAAAAATGTCCCTGCATGCAAATAATCGCGGAGAAAGGTCTTCTTTATTTCAAACGATTGTATATAGCATACATACACCCATTACGTATAGGCGGAGTAATTGTCAGAGTGGATGAGTGCGCGAGCTTTAAAATTTATGGATCTCCGTATTAATAGTGGATGCATTTTTTAGATGAAAGGATGATGACTCGCAGCTTTTATATGTTGTACGGAAGGTGATGTGTGCAGTCGATTAGGCGATTATCGAGTGAATTGGTAATAAACAGGTGTATATTATATGTTACACGGGGCAACTAATATGTTATTCGTGTTTGATCGGCATATTTAATTCAACGCGCGGATCTGTGACGGATTCTGTGGGATACACTATTATCATACGACTGCACGAGAGATGTATTCGTGGAAAGTGTACATACCTACGCTTTTCCATGCAAAACTTTCGACCGGAGGTTCGTTATCTTCCGTTTGTTCTCGCAAAGATATGGAAGTGCTGTTGAATAAACTATACGCTCCTTGTGAATATAAGCTTTTCGTAGTTACGTTTCTGTGCGTATACTTGAAATCTTACAAGACCAAGCCGTGCCGATTCGGTGGGGGAATCTGCTCGTGCGACCGAGCTACGTTTTTTACCGGTGCATAGAGATGAACGGCGATATCTTTGAATAATTTACCACACCTTAAAATCAATTATTCATCGCGTGCAAGTCTTTTTAAATAATCTGTGTTTGTGTGTGTCTATTATTCGTGAAAATTAATACAAGAAGGTATAGGGATCCAAAATAATTTTCAATTTGTCAAAATTCAAGATCGGCAAGTTTTTCAACGATTTAAACAAAAAAAAAGTACCTCGTCATTTTTTTTCTTCACCGTATAGGGAATTGACAAAAAAGTTTACTGAACTTAAGTTTGGGGATATTAGAAAGGCACACACAAGACCCTGTGTCCCCAAAGGCACACCTTGAATAACGTTTTTGGCATTCGCCCAGAAGGTTGGTTTTTTTTCGCGGAACGCCCATATACAGCGCTTCCACGTTCCCCCCCCCTCTGGTCACACAATTAATTTCCGCACTTAAATGCATTACCGTAAAATTCAAGACGCAAGGTAATGAGCTAAGGGTATACGGATTAGTTGCGGTATAACACTCGACTTTTTTTTTTCCTTTTTTTCCCCCCCTCTTCCCCATGGCTGGCCGGATTAAAAGTGCGATCGTTAAGCGTCGACTGTATATACGCAAAAGGAAAAGAAAAAAAAAAAAAAATTTTGTCCCGACTTTCGAAACTTTTTTCCACGAGCCAATTCGCCACGAGTTTGAGTTGCTCTACAAAGAAGGAAAGCTATAGTGCGATAAATTAATAAACAAATGCGAATCGATCGCCGCGCGACTTGGGGTATAACTTAAAAACTTTTTTTTCTTTCTTTTCATGAGAGCGTATATTGATTTTACATCCATTGTATGTACTGGTATCTCGAAATAACGTTAGTTAAAAAATGTATTCATGTTAAGGTTACACGCGTTAAAAGAGGCTTGGCATTTTGATTTTTGTAACTGATGTGTGTATAGGTAACGTGCAGTATCGAATGGGCGATTCAATCATTTTTATATAAGTAGAACGACCCAATTAGTTTTCCCTCGTACACACGAAAGAGCTGCATTGAAACTAAAAAAAAAGTCCCCTCAGAGTTCTCCAAACTTTCAAAAACTCTCGACAACCAGCAGATCCCAAAAATCAGCCCTCGCCCAAAAAAAAAAAAAAAAAAAAAACAACAACCCTCCCCGACAACGTACCCAACTATAGCAACAAACGTGTGTGGGCATACAGAGAGTGAGTTGATATAATAGTAGCTCTTCTTCGACTTTTTTTTTTTTTTTTTCTTTCTCTCTTTTTCTCGGCCAAGTCGAACCGAACCGTCAATGTCAACGGGGGGGGGACACGTGTGTGCGTTACATATACGCCAGCGTCGGTGTAAGACATATGCACCAGTCCGCGGTTTTCCTTTAACAAAACACACACTTACACCGCGAGAAGCTCCTGGTGCACGTGTGTGTCTGTTTGTACCTGCAGTAGCTACGTTCGGATCTGTATGTGCGAGCGTAAGCTCATCAACCGGCTGCAACGGCAGTATATATAATACATATATATTTGCAGCTTAAAAGCGATAGCGAGGATGTACCCACTTGGTCGCTATAGATCACTTTTTTTTCCGGACAACGTCGCCGACTCTTGCACGGGAGAAAAAAAATAAATAAATAACGAGCTTGCAAGCTTGCCCGGCAACCCCCACGCGCGCGTTCCAACGATATTTTAGGCGTATAATTTATGTAGCTGCGGTGTACACCCGAGTGTAAACGGTAAGAAAGGGCTTGGGAGCGCGATTATTATCCAATCGGGGCGATTAACACAGCCAAGCGACACCGATATCGCCTTCTTGAGGCGGCCCTTGTACGACTTCGCGGTGGCAACTTTGCCCGCGGCGTCAAACTTCCCGAGACGTGTTGTACTCGTGCGCTATACCTACCCCCCCCCCCTTTTTTTTCTTGTAGATATTATTGTTGTGCGATTTTGTGTTGATATGATTTGGAAGGGGGTATGGAAAAAAAAGCGCAAGTGCAGATACGGTGAGAGATGGTCAAAGGAAAAGGATTGCTCTCGCGGCTTTGATCTCCCACGAGAAGGAGCCGACTGTGCTTTTGCATGGTCTAGGTGCAGGACTTGGCTTAACAAAATTAAACAAAATGTGAGTGCACTTACGTGCGGTTTTTTTTTTTTTTTTTTTTTATCGACTGTTAACTCGGTTATTGTTTAAAAAAAAAAACAAACATAAATATTAGATGCGCGTAGTGTTACAATGAATGCACTCGGATTTTTGTACCCAACACATATTCATGAGATTTTTTTATTTTAACAGCCGCAGCAGTGAAAGATATGCACGTGTAATGATTGCATGATTTTTTTTGTCCACCAAGTCGATTGGCTACTTAATGGGAATGAGCTTTTTTGTTTGTTTCGTGTGTAAAATATTAAATGTCGATTCGTTGCAGAAGAGCCGTTTCTCGCTGAGCTTGTTGTATGTGCATTTGGTATGTATTCCGTGTTAGATTTTTATATATATATGTATAGGTACAAACACACAGGAGTTACTTCACCTTTTCCTTTGTTCCTCCTCTTTTCTCCTCCGTTCTCATCATTAAAAATAAAAAAAAATGAATAAAAAATACCAATTACGAACAGAAGTACAAGCTCGTACACTATGCGAGTCTTCTCANTATGTATGTATGTATGTATGTATGTATGTATGTATGTATGTTTGTGATCGTTCAACAGACGCACAAATGCATTTTTTTTTTTTTTTTATAATAACAATAATACGCATGGCAGGCGAGAAAATCGGATGGCCTTGGGTGCTCGCGATATTTTCTTATTTTTTCGAAACATGGGGGCAGTTTATCTTTCTTATCACGAGAGCTTTAAGTGCGGTGGGGAAAAAAAAAAAAATTGGCACGAGAGCCAAAATATGGGTAAGAATTTGGCCAAAGTTTTTCGCTGGCGCTGTTTAAAACGGTGCTCTCCACGAACACCAACATACACGTGTGTTTTGAGAGTTGATTTTACCGATTTTTGGCCAACGTTTTCTTCGCATATAAGTACCAACTTACGCGGTATTATTTCTTTTTGCTCGAACCTCATGAATAAATAGTGAGAACGATGTTTTTTGTCGCGAAAAATAACTTTTTTTTAAATCAAAGCATAAAAATAATTCACGGGAGAAGAAGATTTATCTGCAGATCTCATCGGTACACGATAAAATATATATTTATAGGTATATAGGCGTGTACGTGCCGCAACTACCTCATAGGTAATGTATGTCTGACCTAACACGGATATCATCCACTGATTCACCGTGAATATAAATTTTCAATGAGAAAGAGAGGCCGTCTTTTATGTATATGTGTATACACATGTTATGGGCATTGAATCAGAATTTTTTTTTATTTACCTTCTCCCTTTCATGAAAATCTAGGCTATTGAAATTGATGCATATCGATAGCACGTGTGTGCACAGCTGCACGGAAAGGAAAAGGCAAGTTTTTCAATCGATGTACACCAAAGAAACGGTGCTGCTCTCGAGCAAACTTGCAAACGAAATTCCCAGGCAATGTACGAAGAAAAAAAAAGAAAAAAACGCAATGAAAAAATGTTTTCAGAGGCCTGGAGATCGGCGGGAAACCGGTGGAGGCGATCGAGCGAGCACGAGACGGCACGGCTTGCGCGTACAGCGCCTACCACAGCACCAAGGACGCGACGGCGAGCTTGCGAGGCCAACGCGAGGAGTTACCCATTGCGATACGTGTCCAGGACTCGGGCCGCCTGAACACTTGTCTCCAGATAAAGTACTACCGCGCCGAGGACAAGCACTGCGAAATAGGACCTGGCACCGCCAAGTTGCACTGCATAGAACTCGACTGCACGAATGTAAATGGTCAGCTGGTCATGGTCGATAGGGAAAATTACCGGAAGCTCGGCATAGCCACCTGACCTGACCCCCCGACGCACCAATCCATCACGAGTACACGCAGCCATAGCTGTCACTCCTCATCTTTCAAGATGAGCAGCGCTTTGGGCTCGATCGGTTGCACCGATTCTCTCATGCCGATCCATTTTTGGACGGCCGATCGAGCTTACATACGTTGCGTAGGGGCTGTCGTTGCTACTGCTGCTGCTGCTGTTGTTGTTGTTATTGTTGTTGTTGACGTGGTTGGGCCTGGTTGCGCTGGCACTCTGGCACGAAGTATCGAAAAAAAAAATATATATATATATATTTAGTGTTTTTTTTTTGTTTTTTTGTTTTTTTGTTTTTTTGTTTTTTTTTTCTCGATCGAACCGACTCTCTCCTCGTTCGCGCGCTCGTTTTCGCTTGCAAAGGGCCTGGTGCCACTTTCACGGGGTGGCCGAAGATTGCACCGGGACGCCTGATTTTCTCAGAACAGAGACCGCACAAGTCTCGAATGAATGACCTCTACGAAAGACATCAATTATAACGGCCATCTTTTATAATCCAACCACTTTTTTGGAGATCATTTTTCGCGTTCTTTCTCTCTGTTCTCAGATAATTGGCCATCACGGTAGTTTTTGGACACCTTGTACACATATTATTTGTATACAGATTTCGTTGGCGTGCACATAAATATTGTTATACATGTGAGGGACGTATGTGTGCGCGTCGCTTAGCTAAATACTGATTATAGTGATATTTTTTAATTTTTTTTTTTCTCTACTGATTGGTGATACAATGGTGAGGATTTTTTGGCGTTATTTTTATCAACGTTGTTCGATGGAAAGAAAGTTTTCTTCGTCAAAAATCAACAGTGTACATAAATGTTTTTTTCATTCCCCAAAATAACCATTGGGTATGCATTAAGTGTGATTAATTTTCCTTGTATATTTTATATTTTAAAAATAGCAAAGCAATACTTTCTCAAGCTTGTACCAAGTTTTTAATCGCACGAGGAATTCTGATTTTTTTTCGTCACAAAAAACTACTAATAATCAAATCCTCACCATTGATAATAATTTAAAAAGCATTTTTGCTGTAAAAAGATACAAATGTAATAACTTGTAAGAAGAGACCATTATTTTTTGTTTTTTAAGTTTAAATGTAAAATTGGACCAGCTTTTAAAAAGCCACAAATATATTACCTATATTTGAATTTGAAAATTTACAAGCTTAACGAATATTAATAAAAAAAAAAATTTTTCTAACTTGCTAAGGCATCTTTTTATGATAATACATTATTAACCAATGGATAACTATACACATATTATACAATTAACGATAACGAAAAGTTCAATTAAAATTTATAAAGTATACTTGCTACTTTATCAAGTAAAATCAAAGTATAAGAAAAAAAATTAATAAGTGAATAAGCTACTGCATGAAATTAGAATAAAAATATTAAATCTTCAAGTTGCCTTCAAACGAAATTTGCTATTAAAATACGTAAAACACAAAAAAGTAGATGTTAATATTGTTTATGAAGAATTACTTTTAGCGAAGAAAAGTTTGTTTTCTGAAAACCAGTATTTGAAACACATACAAATTATTGTGTTAATATTAGAAAAAAACTAGCTATTAACTGTACACAATTTCGTTGATAGTTTAATTGTCAATAGTTTTTATTTTTATTTGTGCAAATCGTTAATTATTATTACAGATGTTTTCGTATTATTAAATTTTTTATCGATTATATCAATAATAAAATAAATGACAACAATACGTAGCTAGTCGTCAAGTACCTAAACGCAACAGCAATCGTATGATTTTTGCTGTAAATGAAAAGTTGATCTTTTCAGCGTCCAACTCGATTAATAAAATGCTACAAGTTTATCGTTGCCTAGATTTTTCCTCTTTATATAGACAATTTTGTAGAATAATATATTACACCGGCTGGCATAGTCCGGTCGTTGGCTCTGTTGTCGGAAACTCATCTCCAACGAAGTTAAGCTTTTGACTTTTTGGATGGGCAACCTTTTTTTGTATGATAAAATGTAATGTATAAAAAAAAAGAAAGATAATTACATATAATAATATAATGCAAAACTGGTGCTGCGACTCACCAAAGCTTCACGCGATTTAACTTTAACAATAATAATATTAATAATAATAATTACACTTTTTTACATCTCAAGCGTACTTTTTGCATTAGTAAAGATTTTTGCGATTTTTCGAGATATCTATATAAATATATCCAAGCAAAATAATATATACACCTATCACGAAAATAAGTAGAAACATATCATTCTTACGAATTTTTTATAGCTTTAACTATTAAAAGAATACGATTTTTCAAGAAAGTTTGCAAAAACTTTTTCAATATTATATTGTTTGTATGGGAAAAAAAAGTTGGTGAATAAAATATATTTTATTCACGCGTTTAACTCTTTACAGCGCACTTTTACACTGTCAATAAGTAGGAAAAAAAGTTAAAATAAAAAATTGTTTTGCAATATATCTATATAAGTTCTTCAAATTGTACATATAATAAAATATCTTTATTTTGTTATTTAAAAATTCATGAAAATAAAAACAGCGATTTAGGGAACAAAATATATATGTATATTTTATCAATTTCCTGCCAATGTTTCAATACAAAGCATGCAATGTTATATACTACACCCGTTAATAATATACAATTATGGATTCAATTTAAATCCCGATTTTTTAAACACAGAAGGTGCCGTATGTTCAAAGGTGAAAATTGCATGTAAAGTATATTTTTTGTAAAAAAAAAAAAAAAAAAAAAAAAAAATTTAACTCACGTCATCATCCAGATCCATTCAAAAATACTAATTCACTGCATGAATTTCATTTGGTTATTCATTACAACAACAAAGGTATAAATCTACTTCAAGTTACTACTTAAACAGTTGGGCACCCAGTGGAAGCGGAGGTGGCACGTAGTTCAGCAATTTTTGCCCAATGTTCCTCATCCTCTCATCAATGAGCAACTTCTCGATCCTCGACCTCATTACTGTGGCAAGTTTTGACGTCTCTTTGAGATACATGGCAGCGTGATGCAATGCCACTCGGTAAAGGCCAGGAGACTGTTCCTCGCGCACTGTGTTCCGTACGAGTGCGGTGATGTATGTCTCGATGAGGGACGCGTCCTTTTCCAACGGAAATAGATACTCTTCATCGAAAGGTAGGTAGAAATCCTGAGGCTGCACGCTGCAGTAACGGATAACGCCAGCGTGCTCGGACCAGAGGAGTTTGCGGTAATGGATGTCGAAGCGTTGAGCAACGAAAACTAACAGGACCTGAGCGAAAATATCCACGCCGTACGAGTGGGCTGCAAAATTCTCGCATAGCGCGGTGAATAGATCCGTGAATGAGCTAAGGCCTGGTACGTCGGCCGCTAGATCGAGTTTCTTGTAATTTACTTTTACTAAAAATCAGTTAAAATGTAAAGGTTAATATTAAGAGTCACAATAATGATGCAAATAGTTACAATTTACTTACCTAATTGCGAAAACACTTTCTGAGACAGCTCGCACTTTGGCGCGTGTATGAATACATCGTCGCATAAGTACAATAAAAGTAATCTGCTGAATCTTAGATGTACAGGTAGATTTTGCGTCAATTCTGGCATAATAAGCTCAAGCTTGAGAAGTTGCAGAATGTCACAGGTCTGTGAGTAACGCCAGGCCTTCTCTTTTCGCATTTGCGTGTACGCGCTAACGAGAGGCAGATATATCCAGTCTTTTGGCATGGCTGCTTCGGACCAACTGCCGTTTGGACTCACGTATTTCTCGTACAGCTGGACCGCTAGGTGTGGGTTACCCAGGGTTTCGAGGTCCTTCAATTTCTCGCTCAAGCCTAAATCTTCCAATTTACTCTCGAGAAGACGTAGATTTACACGTTCTGGTAATAGACTGTAAACTAAAATGTCGCGGACGCTCAGAGGACAGTCTGCCGGTAGGGCAGATATTAACTTGATGGCGATCTTCCATATCGTATCACCGAGCTCTGTTTTCTGAACAATCTTGAAATGATTTTCCGCTTGGATTACCGCTACCAAAAGAGAGTATTCGATACGAGTGAACCACGACCTTTCCAACGACCAGTCGCTGCTTTTTAATTTTTTTAGATATTTCTGGAAATTTTTGGATTCGAATATTTTTTTCACGTCCCCTTCATAGGAACTCTTTAAAGCATATTCGAACATGGTCCTTAACAATACGATTTTTGATTTTTGATCCATGATAGGCTGCAACTGTCCTTCATATGTCATAACACCGAGACTTGGTAGTGATGATGGATCTCGATCGCTTGCTGGATCAAGATTACTCAACAAATTGGAAGATGCACTGCAATCAACACTAAATTTAAGATGGAGAACTCAAAATCTTGGATGCTACAGCAAAAAAAAAAAGAAATATCAAAGTTTGTCATATCACCTTAATTGGGAAAACATGCTTGACTTATTGAGCCAAGATCTTTCTAAAAATGATATGTTGTCGAGCGCTCTTATGCACTCGGAAACTAAAACCGTGTGATTCCACTAAAAAAATTAATTGAATTATCGTAGGTAATTTTTTTAACACCTCCTAAACTGCAGATTGGACGAAAAAAATTACCGTGGGTGAAGAGATCCTCGACAGCTGAGTGCTCCACTTAGCTAACAGAATAGCTACGTGCTCCTTGAGCGCCTCGTCATATTTTGCGATAGCTATCAGCGCAGCAGCGTAGTCGTACTTCAAAGGCGAGGTAGACTCGTTAACATCAAGTGTACAAGACAAAATCTTAAGCTGCGAGATCAGAGTCAGTCTTGCGCCTGTTACACTGTCGGTTTCAACTCCGTAATGTAGGAATAGACGCCATAGTCGTAAGCTCTCGATGTGCAAGCGAACTTCTTGTCGACTTTTAAAAATAATTGCCATGAACTTCAAGGACAAATTTCAAAATGTAACGTAAAGCAAATAAATTTTTTATTACGTGGCGTCGCTGGTAACGTAGTTGATCAATGAATTAACAATTTTCAAGTTTTTCAACCTTTCAATGACTGGTCGTCCAGCATAGATAATCAAAATTCTACCTAAACGAATTGCTGCTGCGAGTGGACATCCGTAAGGCTTGCTAGAATCACGATCTGGCACTAAAAGTGTAAGTTGCATTGATAAAAAAAAAAAAAAGAAATAAAATTATAAATATAATTTATGTTCGACAATTACCAGGTTGATTTAAAGAAAATGGTATGCATTTGTTGACTATAATATCTAACAGATCCGGCGTGCACGCAATATTCAGCGCAGTTTCGCGAGAATGCCTGGCAAGCCTTGCCAATATTTCCAAAGCTGCAGTTAGTCCTGCCAAAGGGAGTTGCATTTCATTTAAAATGTACCTGAAATGAAAAGGTGGCATTTTTTTCATTCCTAAAATTAATCTTCAACTCAAAATTTTTTTTATTCATACCTGATTCTAATTACAATATCCGAACGCATCAAAGCAGCAACTGAATCGAATTGTACTAGTTCGTGATCTTTTAAACTTTGGACATCATCTACATCTTGTATGGAGGGCTTCAAGATCGGTTCATCGAAATCTTCAAGGCCGAATGTTTTATCCAAACAAATTTCGTCAGTTTCGGAAAAAATAAAAGCTCTCAGAACTTGAAGTGCTGCTGTGACTACAGGTAATGCGGTATCATCCAAAGAAAAGCGCAAAAGAAGCAGTGCATTCTTCTATAATTTGACACAAATAATTCAACTGTACAGGTAAAATTTTTGGCGTGAAAACTATTTTACTTTTACAAAGTCAATATACCTGATTAAGAGTTTGTAAGAGGGACGGCTGCAATGCTCTATCGTACCAACCCAAATGAGTTTTTTCCAATATATGGGCCAAGGTAGTTAGAGCAGTGCAGCGCTGCTGCTGAGCTGCTGATCTACTCAGTTGAAGCAACTCTTGAAGAGAATATCCTGGTCGCTCGGGCTCCTCACCGTGATGATGAAGACCCTTATCAACCGTCAGACTCTCATCGTTAAAAGGAAGAAGAGTTCCGTGGAAATCAAAGCGTGCATTATATGGTTCTGCCGTTGGTTGTGTCTTATCTTCCTTTTGCGACAAGTCTTCCATCCATTTTACTTTTTCAGGCTCAACGTCATCCATGTGTACCCAGCCTTTTTCAACTGCATCTTTGACTATATCTACTACAGGTTCAGGTAATTCTAAATTTTTAGTAGCTTCTGAATCTATATCCATTTTATTGTCTAATAAGTGAGAGACGCTTTTGTCATCAAAATCTATTTTTTGATTGTGCTTTGAGGCACTTGGCTGCATTTCGTCTATTTCCATGTCTTTACAATTACCAATACTAAATATCTTATCTTTTAATTGATTTCTTGATTCTTTTATTGATTTTATGAAAGATATGGTTTCAGGATTCAGCATAGCTTCAAGATTTTTTTTCTCTGCCAAGATTTCTTCTTGGCTCATTCCTTTTAATTTCTCCACGTTTTCCTCATGGATTTCTTGAGCCCAAGGTCCTGATACAATATGACTGGAAGTTGATTTTGTTCCTGGTTTTCCCAGATCGCTTAACGATATTTCTTTCTCGTAGCACTGCTTTGAGATTGAACGTAAAAAAAGACTTTTTTTGGAATCTGTGTCCTCCAACTGAGATAACATTACTTGAAAATTATTATTATACATGTAATTTTGTTATGAAACATTTGATAAATGACTAGATCTCACCGTTTCTGGAGATATAAATACAGCTGGGAATCCTGTATGCAAGCTATCTTCCAAGTTTTTCCCAATTTCTGACTTAAATTCCGACGTATCCGATTTCCTCTCAACTACGTTTCCTAGTATGAAATTTACTGGAAGTTCTGTATAGTTATGAATGGGATCAATCTTTTTGTCAACCATAGATGCATCAAGTTCTTCTGGAGAAGCAAAAAAAATTTTTGACTTTTTTTTTTTAATAAAAATATAAACAAATATAATTAAACAAGGCCTCCAACCTGCATCCTGATTTGTAACACTACCGCAAAACTGACTAGTACATATTCTCTTTTTTTCGGCCTCAGCTTGTCTGTCTCGAGCAAATTTTGATTGTTTCTTTGCCAAAGGGGCTGTGGCTCGTTTATCCACCACTTGAACGCAGGGAAGCAGCTTTTTTTCCTCGAAATCTCTTTGCATCTGCAAAAGCTCTTCTTCGCCGTCGGCTGGCCTTGGTCTTTTGATGGGCACAATATTATCAGCCATATTTTCTCTCAACTAGGTAACTGAGGTATCACTCAAATGTCAAGTTACTTATACGTTTTACACTAATAAAAAACACATTAATATGCTCAAAAACTATTTCCTCATAGCATTGTTTTGTTTCGTTTTAACAATCAAGCTATCAACAATCGCCACCAAAATATGGAGTGAAAGTGAAACAAATGAAGAATTATTGAAAAAATATTCTTGCTTTGCCGTAAAATTTCAAAGAAACTTTTGTTAACTCTTTTATGCTGTACATAGGGGGATAGGGGTCTTCAGAATATTCAGATGTTTTTTTTTTTTTCATTTAGTTGACCTACACAAACCTTAACCCTTGACGGGCCTGATACGCGTCATACGCGGCCTTATTGGTGATCAAGCTGAGGCCCGAGGGTGGTGTCAAAAATCTAAACCAGCCAAGGTTAGGGAAAAACTACAACAACCTGATCAACGCCAGAGATTCTGATTTCTGATAAAAGCGGTTGTGTGAGGTAGGTATATATATAGTGTATCAGTGCCATCTAGCGTTGCTGATTTTGCGGACTTCCGCAAACTATTTTCTAGGGGATCCGTCTTGAAAAAAATCCTAGATTCTAGGGGTTTCTGCCAGCAGTAAATCACTGCAGTGTATAAGTCAAAAACCGCAGATCTGCAGGATTACAATTTACATGCTTCGATATACACAGTTCGACATTGATGGAGTGACATGTATATTAAAAATACTAAAATTTAACAAAAATGTAACAAATGTCCCCCATTGTCCGCGTTGGTTGTGTATTGCGATCAATTAAAGCACGAGACTGACGAGATCCGCAGACCTCACCGTCGCGGTGGCGTCAGTCAACTGTCGATACAGCAGGGTCGATTTTTTTTTTTATGTACCGACGGTTGGCTGACTCGCTCGAACTACAGGTCTCTATCTTATTTCATGCCGACCGTCGGTACATCCAGGTTTGCAACGCTAGATGACGCTAGATCCAAATGCAATTTCGCCATTCTGGCGTACCGAATTACCGCGCGGGTTGTTGTACACCTTGTACGTGATGTAGTTGTAAGTAGTTTTTCCCTGCAAGCGTTTTAACTTGACATCTCTTAGTAGAATACTTAGAGAAACCTCAATGATTCGTGGTGATGCGAAATATTTTTTGTCATATTATAATATATGTAAGAGAGTGCAGATCTCTGCGAGTATGCTCTTGTCCACGCGCTCTCTGTGTCTCGCTCTCACGTTGATGGCATTCGACAAAATTACATATTATCTCGAAATTTTCAGTAACGCGAAGCACAAGTACTTAAATCATCAAATCGATAGGAAATTTTTTCTCTACACGCTGATGATATTTTTATGTTTACACCATCCGATATCTTTTATAAGATGTATCGAATTAAACTTTGAAAGCCAGATCAACGGAGTTTTTGAAGGGTATGTATGTTGACCTATAGGTTTGATTATGTGAAATTCCAAACATCTTCCTTTGGACATCAAAATAAAGATCCAGCGGATCTTTTACACCAGAGTGTGTACTTACAGATACAGGGTGAGAGCGATAGACACCGCGAGGTCACGTGTGAAACACACACATATGTACATACATACATGCAGGGGCATGACGCAGGAGAGGACGGAGGCGGCAAAAAAGAAGAACGTCACTTGAAGCGGAGAGTGTGTGATGCTATTATACCGCGCGCTTTCAAAAAGCCGTCGAAAGTGTGCTCTCTCGATATAGTTCAGACATCATCATAACTTCCGCTGCGTACTCACGGCCAAAGCTAAATGGTTATTTTTAAACGAAAAATCAGAATATCCGAGAGAGAAAGGAAAATAAGCTCTTGGCGAGCGCGGGCTTGGATCGATCTCTTTAATCCCACGCAGAGCCACGAGGCAAACAAAACGCGAAAAAAAAAGTGCAGTGTAAGCCGAGAAGAGAAGAAGGTTGGAGTACAAGAACATTCTACTCCAGTTCCAGTCCAGTCGCCGACGAATTGAGATCGTAGCGTACAGTGGTAACGGAGATATCATATACTTTGGTACTTCTATTACCTACCCTAGGCTATAAAAGCACAATAAAAGACGCAACAGAGCGCACGTATAGGTAATCAAGACACGACACAACGGCGTCGCTCCGTCTCTTTTTATCGCGTCGTGTGTTATTATTATATCCTACTGGTGCTGCTGCTGCTCCTGCAATGCTGCTTTACAGCAGCCCAAGTCGGGAGTCGCTGCGAAGCGGTCGGGAATCGCTGCGTAAGGCTGGCGACTATCACCCATCGAACTATCAAAACAAACGACGTACCTTCTCCTCTTCGTCCTCGCCTACTCCACCGACAATGTCCAAAGTTGACAAGACAGAGCTCAAGAACCGATTGACCCCGCTCCAGTGGCATGTGACGCAGGAAAAGGGCACCGAAAGGCCCTTCACCGGTTGTTACAACAAGCACTATGCCACTGGAGTCTACACCTGCATCGCCTGCGAGCAGGAGCTCTTTACCTCGAATGACAAGTACGACAGCAGCTGTGGCTGGCCGGCCTTTACCGACGTTTTGGAGCAAGGCAGGGTCAAGCTCAATAAGGACACGACTCTTGATATGGTCAGGACGGAGGTTACCTGCTCGCAATGTGGCGCACATCTAGGACACGTTTTCAACGACGGGCCCAAGCCCAAGAAAAGGAGATTCTGCATCAACTCGGCCTCCCTCAACTTCCATCCTGGTAGTCCTACTGATGCCACTGCTGCAGCTGTGGATGACAAGAAAGAGTGAGAGTAAGTTGTATATATACTTACAAGGGCACGTACGAGCAGTGCAGGTTGAGCTGGCACTGGAGAGATCGAAATTATTTTTGTGAGGCTTTTTATTGATACCTATACTTGTTACTTATTCATATTATTATTATTACCACTACGTGAGATTTGTATATAAATATATTTAAATATTACGAAGATATTGGTTTTTTCAATATGTATAATATATTAAAATAATATAATGTACATGGATGATGAAAAACAAAGTCAAATTATGTACGTTTTTTATTTGTACGAAAATCTCTTTATTCGCACCTTGTCACAGTCACATATACAAATATTAAGTATACCAGTCGTAGACTTGTTTTTTATGTAAATTCAATATGTTTACATTGTAATAGTATCATCTCAAGTATAGAGATTATGTAAAAATCACAGACATATATGATCATCACAAATCACAGAACAATCATGTACATGTAGGTGCAAACCTTGATGGAAAAAAAAGGAAACAACCTTTAACGAGACAAAAAAGTCTCGAAACGTTTGCTTCTCTCAAAAACTTGAGTCACTACTAACGATCTTGATATAGTAGTCTATTTATAAATTTAGTGAATCATAAGGTAGTCAAGATCTTTAAAAAACTTTCAAGTACAAACTATAATTTTCTTCTTTGACAGATGAAGTTTAAGTACTTCAATTTTTCGAATACCAAATAAATATGTGCAAGTACGCTGTTGACAAATATTTGGTCTCTAACAATAAATTGTATAAATTCGAGTCCTTAAAAGTATTTGGCAATAAGTATTGAGTACCTTCAAAAAATTTTTAAAAAAACGCTTATTCATAAGTCAATCAAACAGACTTACACTCACAAATCACAAAGTCGAGGTGTTAAAATTTAACAGGTTCGCTTTTGGAAGAATCAATAGCTGGAGTCACGGGACTACCGTGAACCTCCAAATCAAAGTCATCGGCGGTCATGGAATTTCTCAGCCGATTCCAACGATTGAGAGAGTGCCTCTGCGTCGAAATCTCGTTGCTGTTGGTCTGCTTGCGCGCTCGATCCGCTTCGTGCTGAATGATGATCTCGTTTGTAATGTAGGCTTCGCGCCGTATCTTGTCACGAAGATTCGAACTCATGTCGGGGATGCACCATTTTACCATAATCATTACGAAAGCAACGACATTCTGAAATGTTTCGATAACAAGATTAATGTTTTAATAGACTTACTGCATGTTGATTGATTGAAAAAAAAAAAAAAAAAAAAAAAAAAAATTTAACTAAAAGTCGGACATGCCGGTCGAAAGGACCAAATAGCACGAGAAAAACGCAGTGGTGTCCCAAACNAAAAAAAAAAAAAAAAAAAAAGTTAAAAGTAAATACCTCAAAAATAACAACAAAAGTCAGTCTGGCAACGAGTACTTGCCAGAAGAAATTCGTGTATTTGTACGGATGCTCGGAGTCTGGTGACTCTCGATAGTCGGGGTAATAACAGATTTCGCTACTGTTCATTTTAAATTTAGATAAAGAGTGGTCCAAAAATCCTGTCAGGGAGTAGTCCTCCGAAACATAAAATCGGTAAACCAGCCGCGGAATAAAGTTGGATGTAAAAGCGATTATAAAAGCCTGTTGATAGAAATGAAATTTAAAAAAAAAAAAAAATTTCATGACATTAATTTTTTTTTTTTTTTCACTTACATTGGTAATAACGGAGAACTTTGATACGGAATCCAAAATTCTGTACCAAACTCCTATGTCCCGAACTCGTTGACCAACAGGCCGGCGGTACATGGTTAGCAGCTTTTTCGCGTCCAATCGCATCTCCAAGAAATTGTTTATCAAAGCAAAAAATGGTGCGAGTGGGAATGCAGCCACGAAAATTGTCACGAAACCATATTGCAAGACTGTGAAGAGGAGCTGAATTTATGTCTCGACCGATTTCAAAAATAAAATAATAATAGACTTAATACCAGATCAAACGTACTCATTTCCAAATATTCAGGAAACAAACTTCTGGCTCCCCACTCCACGAGCTTATAATCTCTGACCCACTGCAGATGCTTCCTAGACCATCGTCTCTCTGGCGTATCATCTGATTTCTTAAAACTTACCCTTATGGTATTCATCCACTTGTAAAACAAAGGTAACAGCATTTCGAATATCGAATTTATAATTTGTTTTCCTATCATGATTATGCTCAATTGAATGCACAGCTCCAATAAACAGCCACCAGGACTGCACTCCTCTTGGCGCGAGTTGAATATAAGGTTGTAGGCATCGGGACGGCCAATAAACTTGCCTTTGAAGAAGGCTATGTAAAATATAGAGGCGTAGTAATTGATAAACTCCAACAGATAAATCTTCAGTGTGAGGCTGTCGTCGTATTCCGTTTGGGTACGTGGAAGCTCGAGCTACGTGAACAAAAAAAAAAAAAAAAAAAAAAAAAAAATTAAAAACCAAAAAAAAATTAAAAAAAAAAAAAAAACAATTGTAATCGAAGCTAAATGATGAGGTTTTTTTTATTCGCGTTGTAATCAATAGATATATGCTTTTTTTATTTCATTCGTGTCACCCACCTCAGTTAAGTATTCGGCTAGCCAAGTGTAGATCCAGTTAAACACAAAGATGCAACCCAAGTTAATGAGTGCCGCTGTTACTGACACTTTGAGACTGCTCGTCGAAGCATCTTCGTCTGGGTGAGCTTGAATAGCCGTCAGTACCGACATTCTATACAAAACGACACCCAATACAGTAGCCATAGCTACGGAAATCTAAAAAAATTATTCCATCATTGCATTATTTGTTAATTGGAATAGTAAGAAAAGCATATTTCTTTCTACCAATTGTTTTGTGTGATTATTAAAAAAAAATAAAAAAGGATTACCAAAAGCATGATGACCGAGAAGCTGAAAATTGTGACCGGTAGTTTCACCTTCCAGAACGGCACTTTTGGTTCGAAGGTGTTAGTAACGAAATTCATAATTTTTTTCTTGCTGTGCGATAATCTGGCCAAGTACTCGGGCCTCGGATGCTCTTCGTGAATGTCCAGGCTCGTCAAGTCCCATCGATGCGTTATTTCGGCGGAGTAGTTTTTCCACAGCTCCAAAAATAAAGTTGCTAAAAAAAAAAATACAAATGCATATTATTTAAGCGTTTCGGTGGCCACACTGACAACAATAAAAACGTATAAGTTTTTTTTTTTTTTTCACTTTTTATGATTGTTGTTTTTCAAAAAACTCTGAACAAAATAATTTAGGTTCTAAAAAACGAACCATTCGCGTGCAAAATAACATGAAATGAAAACAATTAAACAATCTAAGTGGTGCATGCTCTGTAGCTTTTAAAAGAATTAAAAGTCCGTTTAAATAACTCCGATGTAATGCGATTGGTTGAGAAATACATGCAGAGAGAATCTAGACTCTAGACTTTGTTTTGCATCGGCAGCGCCGTTCGACACACGGACGGACGGCAGTTGCCAGCAATGTAATGTCAGTATACGTATACCTGCGTATACCGTATACCTAGTGTGCATTGGGCTCCAGGAACTCCGCGAATGACTTTCGAATTGGGACATGAAAAAAATACCCAAAATTGTGGAATCGTTAGCAACGTTTGCAATCACTTTGCAAAAAATTGTCGAATCTTCCGGTTGTCTATAAAAAAATAAAAACTAAATGGTCCAGCGAGAGTCCGGATAAGTACGTTGTCTGGCTCAAATACTCCATATACGGCTATGAAACTTACTTTAGTCGTTTGCAATTTAATTGTCGATGATGATTATCTATTGCATTATTGTAAAACTAACAGAAAAACAATGTGAAATAATTATTTCAGTCATTAATGAAGTCTTCTCTGCAGCTATATATATAGATATAGCTCGAGAGCAGACAGCTACCAAACTGGCGGAAAATTCAAATATGTCGCACAGTAGAACAACTTCAACTTCTTAATTGCACTCTCGCACTAACAAATTGTGAGCTTCAATAATTATAATTATTTGAACTGACTTTGTGCTCAGGGGTACTTATTTCGCGTAAATCAAAGCAATCCGCAAATGACAGTTTATGTGAACATAAGGCTCGTTCTCCCTTCTCCCATTCGAGCGCATCTCTTTAGAGTGACTCGAGCTGTATACCTATAAATATATATATCTGTACCTATATATATATATATATATTAAGCCAATTTTAT